ACGCCCCTCCCGCCCCTCCGCAGACCCCCAGCCCCGCCGCCGACAGCTTCCTCCACTACCGCACCAGCAGGGTGCGCGCGCTGAGGGCAGCGCGGCTGGAGCGGCTGGTGGCCGAGCTGGGGTCTGGAGATCCCCAGCAGGACCCCAGCTTCGTGCCCACCTTCCTGGCCACCCACCGTGCCTTCGTCCCCACCGCCCGAGTGCTGGGCTTTCTTCTGCCTCCCACGCCGCCGCCCCCACCTCCTGGGTCAGTAGCCACCCAAGTTCGTACCTGCGATCCCCCCGCGGGCACCCCCTCCCACCTCCTCAGGTTGGGACCCAGGAAACACTCCCTGACCCAGAGCCGGCTCTGGGCTCCCTCTTGGTCTCCTGACGCGGGACCTCCTCACAGGGTGGAGGTCAAGAAGGCAGAAGGACAGGAGAGGAGCTTCAACAAGAACCTGAGGTCGGTCCCCTATTGGAGTGGGGGCTGGGGGTATGGGGGTGCCGGAGGTCCAAGTCAGCAGCCAGGCCCCAGGACTGGAGGGCTGGGTAACGGAAGATCAGGAGCCAGACCTGAGGCCCTGCCCCTCTGGCCAGGGCTGTGGTGTCTGTGCTGGGCTCCTGGCTGCGGGACCACCCTCAGGACTTCCGAGACCCCCCTGCTCACTCGGACCTGGGCAGTGTCCGAGCCTTTCTGGACTGGGCAGCCCCAGGGGGGACGGAGGCCCAAGAAGCAGAGAAGCTTCTGGAAGACTTTCTGGAAGAGCCTGAGCCAGAGCAGGAAGAGGAGCAGTCCCAGGCGTGGGCAGGTGAGGGATTTCAGCCTGGGCAGGTGAGGGATTTCAGCCCAGGAAGCACCCTGAGGAGGCCCTACCTGCATGCCCCCTGGCTAGGGCTCTGGCCCCGGGCCGGTCTCTGGGATGGAACAGACACGGGTTCACTGAGTAATTACACCCTGCTTATGATGTATCATCTTTAAACCAACTGCGTTTGATCAAATCCTTTTGGCAAAAGCATCTCTAATGGGTGTGTTCAGCCGGGTGTGGTGGCTCACACCTATCATCTCAGCACTTTGGGAGACGGAGGCGAGAAATTTCCTAGAGACCAGCCCGGGCAACTTGGTGGGACCTCGTCTCTACAATAAAAAAAAATAGCCAGGTGTGGTGGCATGTGCCTGTAGTTCCAGCTACTTGGAAGGCTGAGGCAGGAGGATCCCTTTAGTCCAGTAAGGTTGAGGCTGTGGTGGCCGTGGGCGTGCTGCTGCCCTCTAGCCTGGGCGACAGAGTGAGACTCCAACTCAAGATAAAGGGGGACATGTTCTTCCTTCAGAGTTACAGGTCTTGGGCCAGGTTTTTAACTCTAAGCCTCAGTTTCCCCACCAGTAAAATGGGGATAATCATTCTTTGATGAACTATTAGCATGTGTCTAATACTTCCCCCATCCTTCACTTTTTTTATTTTGTAATTAAAAAAAAAAAATTTAGCCGGGCTCGGTGGCTCAGCCTGTAATCCCACGCCTTTGGGAGGCTGAGGTGAGTGGATTGCCTGAGCCTGCGGGTTCAAGACCCGCCTGGGCAGTGAGATCTCATCTCTACAATAAATAAATAAATAAATCAGCCGGGCATGGTAGCGCATGCCTGTAATTCCAGCTCCTTGTAAGGCTGAGACGGAAGGATCACTGGAGCCCAGCAGTTCGAGGCTGTGGTGGCTGGGAGCGGCCACTGCACTCCAGTCTGGGCGACAGAGTGAGACTCCAACTCAAAAAAAAAAAAATTTGAGTTGGGGTCTCACCCTATTGCCCAGGCTGGAATGCACTAGTGCAATCAAATATTACCGAAGCCTCAACCACTTGGGCTCAAGGTGATACTCTGGCCTCAGCCTCCCAGGTACCTGGGACTACAAGTGTATACTACCATGCCCAGTTCACTTTTTGAGTTTTTTTGTAGAGTCAAGGTCTCGCTGTGCTTCTCAGGCCGATCTTGAACTCTTGGGCTTGAGTGATCCTTCCACCTCAGCTTCCCAAAGTGCTGGGATTACAGGTGTGAACTGCTGCTGCTCCCAGTCACTCCATCCTAATGATAAAGATACCACTGGGCAGCTGGGCATGGTAGCTCACGCCTATAATCCCAGCACTTTGGGAGGCTGAGGTGAGAGGATTGCCTGAGCCCACGGGTTTGAGACCAGCCTGGGCCATTTGACGAGACCTCATCTCTACAATAAATAAAAAAATTAAGCCAGGCTTGGTGGCTCAGCCTGTAATCCCGTGCTTTAGGAGGCTGAGGTGAGTGAATTGCCTGAGCCCACAGGTTCAAGACCCGCCTGGACAACTTGGCGAGACCTCATCTGTACAATAAACAAAAAATCAGCTGGGTGTGGTAGCACGTGCCTGTAATTCTGGCTACTCGGAAGGCTGAGGCGGAAGAATTGCCGGAGCCCACCAGGTTGAGGCTGCAGTGGCCGGGAGCAGCCACTGCACTCCAGTCTGGGCGACAGAGTAATACTCCAACTCAAAAAAACACAAAAATTAGCTGGGCGTGATGGCATGTGCCTGTAGTTCCAGCTAATTGGAAGGCTGGGGCAGAAGAATCAACTGAGTCCAGCAAGTCAAGGCTGTGGTGGCTGTGAGTGTGCCACTGCACTCCAGCCTGGGCAACAGAGTGAGACTCCAACTCAAGGAAAAAAAAAAAGATACCATTGGGTTAGGATGCCTAGTGTTTCTAGCTACAAACAGTTCCATTACTACTTGTCTTTGGCGCTACAGGGATCTGGGTTCAAATCCCAGTTTGCCATTTGCTGGCTGTGTGACCTTGAATTAGTCACTTCACCTCTCTGAGACTCAGTTTCATTAGCTGCAAAAATGGGGATGATCATGGTACTTACTGCACTGGGCTCTTTATTCACTCAATAAATATTCAACTACTGACTCTGAACACATACAGCAAACAAGGGCTCCCAGTTTCCTAGGAGAAAAAAAAAATCACTAAACAAGTAAGCAATAAGCAACGAAGACTTGGTTAATAGTATTATTCTCATTATTGTTGTTATCACTGATTTTTACTTATTAGAGATCTAGAGCCGGGCTCGGTGGCTCAGCCTGTAATCCCGTGCCTTTGGGAGGCTGAGGTGAGTGGATTGCCTGAGCCCGCGGGTTCGAGACCCGCCTGGGCAGCGAGACCTCATCGCTACAATAAATCAAAAAATCAGCCAGGCGTGGTAGCGCATGCCTGTATACTTGGAAGGCTGAGGCGGAAGGATCGCCGGAGCCCAGCAGGTCGAGGCTGCGGTCGCCGGGAGCGGCCACTGAACTCCAGTCTGGGCGACAGAGTGAGACTCCAACTCAAAAAAAAAAAAAAAAAAAGAAATCTACTACTTAAAATGCATACAAGAAGTCATATGGAGGTCAATACAATCACAGCACTTTGGGAGTCTGAGGCGGGAGGACTGCTTGAGCCCAGGAGTTCGAGACCAGCCTCGACAACATATCGAGTCCATGTCTCTACAAAAAATCTGTGTGCCTGTAGTCCCAGCTACCTGAGAGGCTGAGACAGGAGGATGACTTGAACCCAGGAGGTTAAGGCTGTGGTGAGCTGTGGTCCTGTCATTGCACTCCAGCCTGGGTGATAGGATGAGACCCTGACTCAAAAAATTACAAAATTAGGTGGATATGGTGGTGCTTGTCTGTAGTCCCAGTTATTCAGGAGGCTGAGGAAGGAGGATCCATTGAGCCTAGGAGTTGGAGGCTGCAGTGGGCTATCATTGTGCCACTGCACTCCAGCCTGGGTGACAGTGTAAGACTTGCATTAATATTCTCTTTCATTATTCTCTCTCTCTCTTTCTCTCTTTCTTTCTTTCTTTCTTTCCTCTACCTATCTGCAAGTCTCCTTTCTCTTTTTTTTTTTTTTTTGAGTTGGAGTCTCAGTTGCCCAGACTGGAGTGCAGTGGCCGCTCCCTGCCACCACAGCCTCGACCTGCTGGGCTCCGACAATCCTTCTGCCTCAGCCTTCCAAGTAGCTGGAATTACAGGCGTGCGCTACCATGCCTGGGTAATTTTTTTTTTTAATTTATTGTAGAGATGAGGTCTCGCCAAGTTGCCCAGGCGAGTCTCGAACCCATGGGCTCAGGCAATTCACTCACCTCGGCCTCCCAAAGCGCAGGATTACAGGCTGAGCCACCGAGCCCGGCCAAGTCTTCTTTCTTTCTTAGCCTCCTCTACCTGTCTTCAAGTCTGAGCCATATTGATATATTCCTTAGAGTAGGAACTAGCACATCTCAGTTCTGGTCCTTGTAGAAGAAGTTTGGTGACCCCTGTGTGAGCACTTTGGGAGGAGGGGAAAACATCCACACACCTTACTCAGGTCTTTGTTCAAAGGCATCCCTCACAGAGGCTTTCTCTAACCTCTTCCCAATGAAAACACCTCCTACCCCATGTCCTTCCAGCCTGACTTGCTTCTCTGCATGGCACTCATGATTTATTTAATTCCCAGCTTCTGCTCATTTCCGTAGAGAGGAGGACAGCTTTGGTCTGGTCCCTGGCTCTGTCCCCAGGGGCAGGAAACACATAAATTAGTTCACCGAATAATTGCAGCCTGCTTAATCACATATCATCTTTCACCCATCTGTGTTTGATCTCATCCTTATGGCAAAAGCATCTCTATCCCTAATCCCATTCTTTAATTCCCAGATTAAAGTGGCCACATTCCACTTTACAAAGCAGCAACTAGCAGTTTCTCTAGCCCAATTGCAAAGTCTCCGTTATTTATACAGTTTGATCCTGTTTTCTTCCCTCCTGGTTACTAAGTGTCTTTCTTCTCCAGCCTCTAAGATTTTACCAGCAGATTCCCAGCCATTAGAGCCAGCTGGGTTGTCCAATGTGGTGGCAACCTCTGTGGGTTTTTAAACCAATTAAAATATAATTTTAAAAAAACCAGGCATGATTGAGCATGTTCAGGGTGATATAGCCATTAAAAAATCAGATCTTTAGTCCCATTAGCTGTGTTTCCAGTGCTTAGTTGCCACATTGGAGACAGGGAGAGAACATTTCCATCACCACAGAAAAGTCTATGGAAAGTCGTTTTCTAGGCTTCTTGAGGTCAGAGGAGAAAACAAGCATTTATATGTCAGGATCTGGAACACACTGTTATTTATTTATTTATTTATTTATTTATTTATTTATGAGTTGGAGTCTCACTCTGTCACCCATACTGGAGTGCGGTGGCCGCTCCCGGCCACTGCAGCCTCAACCTGCTGGGCTCCGGCGATCCTTCTGCCTCAGCCTTCCAAGTAGCTGGAACTGCAGGCACGCTACCACACCCAGCTAATTTTTTTTTTATTTATTGTAGAGATGAGGTCTGGCCAAGTTGCCCAGGCAGG